CGCTTTATCGACGAGAATAGGTTAGAGGGAGGGCGTCCAACTCTCCCTGGCATCTGAAAACTACATTTGCAGCAAATACCAAGGAGGTATAGGCAGCTCCATTATCTGGACCTCTCAGCACATGACCAAGCATTCTCCATCGACTTTTTTCCACTCTACAGCTACTGACAGTGGTTCACTGTCAGTAGCTTCTGTACAGATTGGCGTTAGAAATTGCCCCCGGGTAACTCTATAATTCAATATCGAAAATTCAGCGGAATGTTTTTCAATTCCGCCCGGTTAGACAAACGAAAATCTGGTATCATTTATTGAAAGAAAAAGATGGAAATTGGTAACTAAGTGAGACTGAGAGCATTGCCAACATGCAGAGCGTGATGCACAAGCTGTTACTTGGTTACTTAAGTACTTAGTGCCGCTGATCGATATTTCCAAGAATAATTCTCCATTATTGACTATTGTACTTTACCATTAAGGGCCCGAGTCGGCCGGTTGATCGCATGATGTGTAAAGGTGTAAGTGTTCTTCATAGCCTGACAAGAGATGACTTCCATACAGTTACAGATGTCTTCAGCAAAATACCTAACTCCCGCTGTACGGTTGAGTGAGCTAGGCTAGATTTTCGTTTGCCACTCCATCTGAAAATCATACATTCATCCTGCACTTGACAAACCCCCCTCTCTCTATCTTTCTCTCTGGGTGTAGATGGTATAAGAGAATCTCAATGCTACGTTTGACATTTTTTCCATCATCTTCTGTATCTGACAGTTTTTCAGACCAATCTTCCTGATCATGGCACCAATGAAAATGCAATGGAACCACAGAACAGAGTAGCCATCAATGCACTAATACAGCACTGTCAGTCCTTCATACTTCTAGTTCTTCCTTTTGTAAAAGTTTATCTGCTGGATATTCTCCTCAGCTGGTGATGTCAGTTCAGCCATTATCAAGTGGTCTTGGTATTGTTAGACACTATGAGTATGACGACATCATCCGCCTTTGTGTTGTGGCACAGATATAAGCTGGGAAACCTAACTTCGTCCTGATGTCGTCATACCGTAGCCAGTCAGCTGCAAATTGTAACATTCCTTTCATTTCTAATTCTTCTTTCCTTTATGCCCAGCTTTTACTAAATACCAAACATTTAGTCTTAAGGGGGGTTCACCCTGATTTTTTGTGAAACTTGATTTCGAGATAGCAGTTGACCAACAAACTAGGACCGGTGACCGAACTTTTGAGGGGGTCCCGGACCCCAACCGCCAAACGGTGCCTGCGGGACAGCCACGCCCATATTTGGTCCAAATTAGGCCAAATTTAGCCAAATACCATGAACATGCCCAAAATTGGTCAAATATCAATATTTTGAATGAAACCAACTTTATATAAAAGGTAAGCCTAAACTGCAAATTCTCTACGATTATCAACTCAATATCAACCTAACTGTGGATTCTGTGTTCAAATAATCGTAAAAAATGAAAAAAATCGCCCATATCTCAGTTTGCGATATTTGCAAAACTGATTTCGCCCAAAACAATAGAACTCAATACGGTTTCAATATGTTTTCATGAAATTTTCAGAATCAACGTAAAATCGCATTTCGACCTTCCGTTTGGTAGTGGAATTTTGAGTTTGGCCTTTGTTGATGCAATTTGCTATTGCAATTTGCTGTTGCAATTTGCTGCTGCAATTTGCTGTTGCAATTTAATAATGATATTATTAAATTTGCTGTGCAAAATTTGTCAGATAACCCAATTGCTCAATGATTAATTGTTATTAGTAAGGTACCTCATTCATAAATGTCAGTTTCGACTGGAACGCATGAATATGCGCAATCTGACTGCTATACTTGCTCGAATATTAATTTGAAAACCATCAAAGTGCTGACATTTTCAATGTTGCTCAACTTTATCTATTGAAAGCGCAATTTGATCGATACCACTACCGGCTTGAATATTAATTTGAAAATCATCAAAGAGCTGCCATTTTTCACGTTTTTCATTCATGATTCACGAGAGAAATGTTGCTCAAGTTTATCTACATATAGGGATGGTTCAACTGATTTAGAATACATTAAACGATCGATCAATTGAAAATCTAAGATATTCAGAACGGAAGGTTTTTCAAATAATAATTTCATTAATTATTATTTGAAAAACTTTCCATTTTGAATATCTTAGATTTTGCCGTCTGCTGAGTTAGAATTTAGGTACCTCGGTACCTCAACTACGGTTATGAGGGTATATTATGCTTCCTTTTCCGAAGTAAGAGACTTAATAAGCAAAATTGCTGCCTTAATTTCTCAAAATTAAAATTTTCTGAGCACACAAAGTTTGATGTTGTCAGCTTTTGTAGTGGATTCCAATTTGGATGACTGCCAACGCTCAGCCTTCACTAGATGTCCATAATCCAATCTGCATTCTTTGAACTTTTATCAGCAGTTATGGATATTGGGGTCATAAGAAGATAACGGTTACATCATTTCGTTTATAATGGAATTCTATTTTTAATTTGTTCCAGTCCTTCCAGCTGTCCTTTACGATTCCCTGGGCACGCTGTCAAAAACATGCTCTTTGGAAACAAAATCCTCCGCATTAATTGAGGACCCCTTCTTTCCAAAGTTCGTAAAGTATGAAGCAGTTGCTCCCTAGTACTAGTACTCCATAAAATTTGAACCGTATTCTCACCCAAAACTAGATTAGAACTTTCGAATTACTTCTGGAACATTTACTATCACTCTACCAGGACTTTAATCAAGAAATGTAGCCTCAAATTATCGTCATGAGAGGATTTCTTAGAAAAATTGGTCATTTATAAGCTGCACTAATGGAGCAGATTTCCTATAGATAGATTTTTATATGGATTAGCTTTTTCTTCCATTTCTTCTAGTTCTACACAGCTTTCCTTTAGGGGTCGTTCACATATTACGTAATCAATATTTTAGCAATTTTTACCCCCCTCCGTAACCAACCGTACTCAAGACCCAACCCCCCTCCTGACAGCAATAAAAAATATTACGTAATCATGGCATGACCCCCCCCCCCCCCCCCCCCCCCCCCCCCCCTTGACTTTTTTCCCTAGAAAACACTTTTCTCTACGTTTCATGCTACCCTGATCATGCTATCATGATGAGCCGAAATCATTGTTATGATAATGATATCCGGTCAAGCACCTTCTAAACTACTTACTATTACAGCCGGATATTCGATAAATTTCTAAATTTTATCACTATCAGAGTGAAATTGAGTGGAATTTGAATTAAAATATTTTCAAATTGTTATGATTCTAGATGGTAAAAAATAAAATTTTGATTACGTAATCAACGACCAAATCTGCATCGTTTCTCACGGTTACTCGAATTTGGTTTAGTTTAAATAATTTTACTTATCTTGTGACCATGAAAAATAGATTTCTTCACGATTAAGAATTACCTAATCGGATAAACATACAATTTTTCCCATTAATTAAAACTGACCAAATCGGATATAATAACCTTATTTCGGTGTTAAAAAATTCTTCAGCAATGAACCAATTCTTGGTAATGAACAAATTTACTTCAACATTGTATATTTTTTTGTCGCCACTTAGGTCCAGGATCATAATATATAAAACTGGACTTCTAGGCAAGGTGCTTGGTTGTAGGACACACTCAACTAAGTAAGTTGAGACACCTCAAATATCCCTAAAGAGATATCAACAGAGTGTGAGCCACTGCCTGACTAACCTGTGAATAGAGTTCGCCAGACTCTATGAGTAATAGTATGGCATCCGTATCTTCTGAGTTGTTGAGATTCTGAGTATCTTTGGCCCCTGATGCCGGTTACAGGCTCTTGTCGAGGGCCTGTAAAGTGTAACCAGCAAATCATTTGAGGTACAGAGATGGTAGACGTGAAACAATGCCACGTGGGTATATCTCGTGATGTAGTCACGTGTTAAAGTTGCCACATGTAGAGAATGAGTAATGGGAAAAAACAAAGATGTGGTTAAATGATTATCCTTGCTAGTGATGAGAATAATTAACACTGTGCCCGGTGAACGGACCGTAACATTATATTAACATCAATGTTATCTGAGAAAATGTAAATGAATGGTTTCACGGAATTTGCAAGGGTTTCCAGGAAGTAGGATTACAAATTACAGAACAGCTGCTCTTGGAACGGAAGAAACACGTCCACAGAGCAGCTGTTCTTATGTTCTCTAACGTTTACTAGTATCACCCAGAAATAATATTCACATTTTATTTTCCATACAAGACTGAAAGTCTTCCAGATTTGAAGTTGATTTTTTCGAGTAGGCAGCAAAATTTCTTTGATTTATCACGTTACCAGACTACTGAAATGGTAAGCAATTTGTTTACTAAGGATTATTTAAATTTTATTTTACTTCTTTCATCTATTCTACTAGGTTTACAAAAGGTTTTTATATCATATTATTATATAATTATGTATTTTTAAAATCAGTCATTAGAACTGCCTTCGCCATCCGAATCCGAACAAACAAACAATTCCACTCCCTACAAGGCCTTATAAATTTTGCGGTTTTTTATCTTAATTTTAATGATGGTATTACTGGTAGTGGTATATTAATATTGTGTATTACCAGTTTTTTTTTGAGGTAGGAAACTATGACGTGGAGACACTGTTTAGGCCATAAAATCATATATAATTATAAATTATATTATATTGCACATTATTCGATATTTTTTCCTCTGTAATCTACAGAGACGAGTGACAACATTAAATTTGGCAAAAATCGCAATTTGTCCGATCCACAACTTTTCAGATCTACGGCAAATTTACACCTAAAAATGCAAGTAATAAACGGCAAATTACAGGATTCCACAACATTTTCAACTAAATGGTCATTCTGCTCACTATCCCAATACCATTCCTTCATTATTGATCGATTTTCTGTAAAACTTTAATTCCACAATTTTATATTGATAAGTTTACCATTAAATTGGTTTCTCTATTTTTGTTATAAAATCTTAATCATCATTTTATCAGCACGTTGAAGCAATGAAGACGGTTTGTATGATTGCAGCCGGATGCGTCTGCAACATTATGATATCTGCTGTGTTTGGCGCATTCGGTACCTACGTTCCTTACATCCTGAGTTACCTCCGCATATACGACTCAACCCTCAAATACAGGTGAGTTATTCTGTTTCTTGGATTTGCTTTTTTTTTATTTGTTCAGAAGGAGTGCTCTCTCTCTCTCTCTCTGTTCTGGTCAACGGTTTCTGGCCTCTTACTTAATGAAGGGGGCCTTCTCGCCGTGCCCACAGAATGCAACTCCTGCTAGCTGTATTCCAGGACTCCCAAAGTATATACGAAATCATAAAATAATAAATATCAATGCAACAGACCTCTGGAGTCTTGAAGCTGTCACTACCTGTCTCAGAGCAAACCCAAGTTTCGGTTGTGGTACTTCGGTGGGCAGACAAGGGACTTCCGAGCAAGGTCATCTCCTGGAATTGGTGCTATTATTAGTTTTCCTGGGCGTGGTTTTTTCCTGATGTTGTTTTCCTGAAATTGTGTTAAATCCTAGTAGTTTACCCAAACAGATCTTCCTTGTCTAGTCTTTTTGACTGGTCCACAAACTTTATGATGTGGTTGAGTTTGCTGTTGATAATTTCCTCCATTGTGAGTAGAGGTTTACCAAATATTCTCATTCTGATAGTCATCAGCTGTACACATTCACAGAGGAAATGTTGTGATGTTTCTGCTTCCCCTGGGCAGTGTTCGCAGTCTTGCGTCTCAAACTTGACGTTGTTAGCCACAGTCTGAAAGTAAGCTAGTGGGCTGTGTCCTGATAGTAGCCATGTTAGCCATCTGAGGTGAGTTCCTGTGATATTAATATTCCTGTATTTGTATTTGTTAAGGAATAGTCCAAGGGGGATTTTCCCTTTATTCAGAAGGAGTGCTTCATTAATATTACAAAAGTTGACCCCAGTTTCTATATCTTCAGATGTATAAAATAATAGCAATCATTTAATGTGCACAAATTCAAAACTGAAAACTGAAATGTCAAATTAATTCTGCAATCAAACAGTACGACTACGATTAAAAAATCACTGCAGGATATCATTGCAACAATCATCAATAAACATATATAAATCGTAAAACCAGAAATATTTCACAAAATATTGCAGCAAATTCTAGCACCAATAACCGGAGTATCTACCTGCACGCCGTCCGCTCCGACCTCGAAGCCAAATCCCAAAACATGTGCTTCAAAATTTCCCCCTCTTACCCCAATCCCTGTGTCAGCACTCAAACCCACACTTGCCCCAACAAGATTACCCGCACTGAACTCAGCTTCGGCGACTGTTGCATCAACAAATACTCCTAATCCAGGTCCTGCAACAGATTTATTTACTTCAGTAGTAAACTCCCCAACGGTAGTTATGACGTTTAGGGGCCCCACGCTATCGTGACTGTGGCCTACAATGTAGCTTGCTATTTTAGTCCCGTCTGTTTCTACTACGAACCCATCATTGACAAAATACTTATCCCCGGTGGTGTCTACATTGCCAGAGTCCAGCATGAGGTCCGAGTGATAATTATTATCGGTTACCCATTTCATCAGCTCGAAAACATACTTCTGGCAGTTGTCTGTCAACAGATAATATTCTGGGTGTTCTGCCAGCCAATCTTTGTTCCATTCATCTATCTCTTTATCCGTTTTCTGAGTTTCCCCCACTACGGACCAACCAAAGGTCCCGGCTGTACTAGCTGCCACTTTTCCAAAGTTCGTATCTATCTTGTTACCGTCCCTTGTTTCTTTCATGGGGGCTATTTCGTACCATTTTTCTCCAATTTTTAAGGCCCAGTGGTAAGATAGGGGTGGGACCAAGGGTTTTCTTCCCAATTTAACTACTCTTTCTTCTTCACTTTCAACCATCGAACCAAGTGACGGATACATTCTAATACAAATTATAGTTTTGTTATTCAACAGTTTCCATATTTTGTAACAATTTAATGCTAAAGTAATGAACATATCTTATCAAAACAGTGTAGGTATGACTTATGAGTGCGCCATACCTTACGATACATATTTATATTCGACATAATTCCGGTGACCTAAATGATTTGGGAACGAAAGTATGGGATTTTTTCTGAAAACCACCGTATTTCGTATCCAAATTAAATCATGGTATTTGGGGATTTTTTTCAGAGTTTTTTTAATCTATGTTAATTTTATTTATTATATTTATAAAATCATTTTTAAAGCAATTCATGATCGAATACTAGAGTTCATTTGTTCATAGATGAATCATATTTATAACTTACTATATTGATAGTAAATCGACAAAGTCATAATTAAAGAAAATACGTGAAAAATAATTTTGGGAAAATAATGATGGTGACCTAAATTTTGGTAGTCCGAAAATATGGTGTTTTTTTCGGAAAACCACCGACTTTCGTACCTTTTAAATATGTCTCGTAAGGTTGTTTTTTAGAGATGCAGAAAATTGATATACTTTTGATTTTTTGGCACACAATACAGCCAATTTATCTTCATGACATCATTTTAATAGGTGTTTCTAAGAGTAAGACGATTTACTGGTTAGTGGTTACTCAAAGTCAGATTTTTGAGTGCCCTTAGAAATCATTTGATCAATTTTCCCGTGACGTACATCAAAGTTTTGCAGTCCCAAATCAATGTTATACTGCTTATTTCAACAGCATAGTAGCTGTTGCACAATGCACAATTCGAAGGCCCATCTACGAACAGGGAAGGTGTGAGATGCTGATTACCATCATTAAGGGAACTCCTACAGAAATCAAGGAATTTGTATAGTAAAGCTTTTATTTATTTCCACTCTGCTTGTCAAAACAAACCAGTGAAGGAGACATACCTTATGTTCGACATTGTCGCATAGCTGACGGCAACTAGCGCTGGATAACTAGCGCTAGCTTTCGCTAGTTATCGCAACTTTATAGTTTGCGCTAGCTAGTGTTAAATGGCGCTAACAAGCGCTGGATGGCGCTAGCTATCGCAAAAGAACCCATAATATGTTCCATGTCCAGATGTATGTTTATATCAGTAGAAACTAGAAGAAGTGCACTGATCGGAACTTGAAGACTGAAGTAGGTATAAACCTTTACAAATCATGAAGTTTAGGAGTGTTCAATGTTTGAGATGACCACATAAATCGAAACAACCAATGTAAAATTTACAACATCTATTAGTATTACTCATGGCGATTAAAAGTCAATCAACCAAACTTTCAACCAGTGGTTTTGTACCGAATAGCACACACTAACTCTAAGAAAACACAAAATATGTTGAATCGAAATTGAGGAACTATAATTTAGGAACTATATTTGATCGAGAACATTTTTGTTTGTCTTTGAATGAGCGTATACTCAGATCGTCACACAATTTAATAAAATTTAGCTCGATCCAACTATCCAAACTATCAACTAAATGCAAAAATGAACCTTCATTTGAAAAAAATGAACTCGAATATTTTTCGATTTGACAAATTCCTCGAACCAGTGGTGGTAGTAAGTTATACCAGAAAGAATTATTTCAATTGGGCACTCAGTAACTGAGCTATTAAGGCCAACGTATGTCCACTGAATTTTGGCCCACCCTGTAGTTTGAGTAAACATGAAGCTTGAAATATGAAATATCATTTGCATTCCAAACGCAAGCGTCTTCTATCAAATCGATACTTACCACTTACATATTTTATTCCGTACTGTACTCAATAAATGTGTTAGAGCTTTCGCTGACGTTGAGGTGGAAAAACAAGCCAATATCGAGTTTTGTAGCCACAATCGCCCCGGAATAAAGCAGTAAAGGATCACAAGATAGTTAAGTGTCATCAAACAAATGATACGACGTATTCCAGGGTGATCTGCTGAAGACTCAACTAGTTTCGGCCTTTGAGGGCCATCCACAGGAGTGTCACCTAGCAGAAGTCAAAAATTTAATAAACTGATATCAGAAGAATATGTCATATTAGTGAACTAAACATACGGTTACCTTACAAGACATATTTATAACGTACGAAATGTGGCGGTTTTCCGAAAATTTCGCCATATTTTCGGACCGCCAAAATTTCGGTCGTCGTAATAGAATCCGTCGCATTATCTTTTAGCTTATTTCAATGACTGTGCCTTCACTGCTTTATTTTGTTTCTAAAAAGTAATATCAAGTAAAATAAATAAATAAATTCTGGCATCTTGGGACAAATTATCACCACATCAATGACGAATTGAATGTCAAGCAATACAGTTTAAATTTGCATTAAAATACATGTATGTGCTAACATGAAAGTCTTACAGTCTTAATACAGACTAAGTTTGAACATGATTTTACTGAATTTCAGAAATTTCCTTATATATTACTGCTTACTGTCACAAAAAATGATGAAAAATACCCTTATTTTCTGTGACGTCCGAAATTTGACGGTTTTTGTTCAATTTCGCCATATTTTCGGACCGCCAAAATTTCGGTCGTCGCAAATTAGTCCGTCACAAAAAAGTCTTGTAAGGTAATTAATCTGAAAATCCATAGTAAAGTTACAAACTCATGGGGCAGAAAATTAGATTAATTAACCGTATGTTTAGATTAACCGTATGTTTAGTTTACTAATATGACATATTCTTCTGATATCAGTTTATTAAATTTTTGACTTCTGCTAGGTGACACTCCTGTGGATGGCCCTCAAAGGCCGAAACTAGTTGAGTCTTCAGCAGATCACCCTGGAATACGTCGTATCATTTGTTTGATGACACTTAACTAACTCAATAAATGTAACTCACGTGTATCTAATTTTGCTTAAGCATGAAATCCAGCCCTTCTTGCTGGCTAATATTGGTCACGTTATCTATCAGCTGACTGTACCTCGTGACTGTGTCACTCGGTGACCACGTGCCCGAATGACTGGTGCCGTATTATAAGGCGTGTTAGCTCATACTATTTGTTCTCTGAAAACTAAAGGTTAAATTTCGATACAGTGAGTCTTATATAATGTAGCTTTTCAGTCAACCAGCAGATGAGTCTTTTACAACCTAATTTGGTCACTTCCATCTCGCTGGTAGTACTAAGGGCCAGCCAAACAAAAGTGTTGTTACGATTTAGGCGGGTTATCTGAATTCACCTACTACAAACTGCTGTTAAAATTAGATGACAGAAGTTTCAAGAAATGCTCAGAAATGGTTCAATCATTTCTAACTGAGACGATCTAACTGACACATTCCATTGTTTGTTTGTTCTGTTACCACTGGCCAGTTACTCGGAACCTATAACAATTGATCTACAGTAAATTATGATTAATTTATTAGTTGATATCATTTGCTACATACGTTTTGACTGAACAAAATAAGTTAGCCGATCCGGATACAGGTAATGTATCAGAACATAAAGGCGATGTAAAAGATTCTAATATAACATAACTGCAATAGCATTAAACGTCATAAATATTAGTAGAAGGTTACGCATAACGGTTGATTTGTAATGTTATACTGAATGTACACGCAAGTCTGTCATGAAGAAAATTATATACTTTCTGGCCAACAATGTGACCCGCTGCAGTATAATTATATTCGGGATCCTAGATACCTTATCGGACCTTATTCGTTCGAATTGTCGGTTTACGGTTAAATTTACGTTCGAAGAAACTCTTTCGCCCATATATTTATAATAATAACCACGTCCGTCCACATAATCATAACATGACGATATCCGCCCAAATAAGTTTCGATAAAGTGGGAGGAATGTTGTACATAAGAAATGTTATATATTAGCTCTACAAGTACATAACAATAATAAAAAGCTATAACATGGAAATAAGAGGGTGGCTCAAAATGTGGAAAATACACAGAAGAGCGGAAAAAAGCTGTGGTAGCACATTAATGAATAACCGAGTACAGAACTGTTGATCAATGGTCATCCTTCTTCCAATACATTCATCCTTCTTCGCTTCATATAAAAATAATAGACATAGAACTAGTAGCTGCTCTAATAGGTCCTAAAGCTCAAAGTTTGCTACTCAAACCAAGATTCTACATTCTCTATTTTACTTCCATCAGTTCTTTCTTCAAGTTCAGGAAAACGAAAATAAACAGCGGGTTATTTTTGATTCCCTGAACTTTAGTCCGGTTCATAAAACAAAAATATTATCCAATAATTGCGTTAATAGGCTTATCTGTTGTTCCTTAGGCCAAATAACTACCAACAAAATTTTGAAGCTTCAACTCCAACCGGAACCACCCCCACATGCCACGCCCATTTGTTTCGTCAATTTTTAACAGGTAAAAATCTTCATATCATCAATTTAAGCATGAAGGAGTGCTTTTAGTGCTCCAACAGTTTGGGATCTAATAGTAATGGTAAAAAAAGTTAACTTTAGTCAAAGTCTCAAGTCTCCACGGCGCTTGGTTTAGGCGCACCGGATCTCGCGTCTCGCGCCTCCGCTGCGAGATTTGTTGCGCCAAAACTAAAGGTCGTAGAGACATGAGACTTCGACTAAAGTTAACCTTTTTCTACCATTACTATTCAAGTATCACAGTTTTAGAGCTCTAAACACATTCCTTCTTCCTTAAAACGACAATTTTAACTCTTGAATAGGCTTATCAACAGATAACTATATTAACGCAATTATTGGATAATATTTTTGTTTTATGAACCGGGCTACTGAACTTGGCAGTAAAATAGAGAATGTAGAATTTTGTTTTGGGTAGCAAACTAAGCTTTAAGAACTATTAGTGCCTATTAGGACGCGTCATTTTATTTTGCAAAACTTCACATCACATTTCGACAAACGCATCAAGACCACGCCTAAAAGTGATTTATCATTTAAAGTTCTATTTTCAGTGATATTGCGTTATTGGTGGCTTTGAACAACGTGGCATTCAATACCTTATCCTGGTGCTCTGGCTTCATGATCAAGTACGTTTTAAGAACATCTTGGAAAACCTCATTAAACTTTCTGTAAGAATCCAAGAATATTAATCGAGTATCTGATCAGTGACCCTCGTTCTTTTATCTGATATTATTCTTGTTGCAGTGCACTGGGGATCAAGCAAACAGCAACCTTAGCAAGCATATTACTCAGCATATCAACTGGGTTGTGTTTCTTTGCTCTGAGAAACTACTGGGCATTTGCAATACTTACCTCCGCTGTCTCCTTCTTCAGTGCCATCATTCAAGCTACCATCATAGGTTTGTTATAAGTCATAAGTTATAATTATTACTATCTTCTTAGGATTTTCTCGCACATTTTGTCTTCTGATCGCTTATCTCTGGTGGCTGTGTTCGGAACGATATTTAATTGTTGTGCCCTTATACTTGTTGAAAGGTTTCAGCAAAGTTATACTAAATACGAAATTTGTCATTTCTTCGTCGGTTTATTTCTTTTCTAATATTGCTAATTTTCCAGTTGTCTGTATGGAGTGGGGTAAGAGACATCGAGGAACAGCTGTGGGCATCATTAGTTTCTCTGAAAGTATCGGGTCAACTCTTTTCAGCATCATAGGAACAGCCGTGATAAACCCTAACAATTTACCTGTTAGCCCGATATCAGGCTACTTCGAAGAGCCGGAGATACTGGACCGGATACCCGTATATTTTCTGGGGCTGGGGGTAGCCACTTTCATACTTCTTATCCCTACATCTCTGGTTATATCCATGCCTAAACAGGGTGAGTTATACCTGGTTTTATTGAGTGATAAGGACAACATGTGTTTTACATGTGATTATAGGCAGTAACCATTAGTAACCAGTAACTATGGTGGCATGGTAACTATCCGTGCCCAAATCTTGATCTATAAGTATAACGACTTTAATCATCTAATGGAAGATTATCACTGCAGTGGATCACGAAGATTCCAGTATGGAGGGTACGTATTTGATAGAGGAATCAGATGATATAGCGTATGTGCGGTCAGTGCGATCTATGAACTACGATCTGTCTCACGCATCATTCCCCGACTATAAGGTTTGTAAAACTCTCCTCAATAAATCATTATTCTCCTATTGAATTTAGCGCCACTAATTTACAAGATCTCCTTTACATTAATTCATATCTTTAACTTTCAATATGATTGTTATAAATCTTTCACAGACTGATTGCCGCATGGTGATATGCCTACTAAATGTATACATATGACTATGTATAACTATATCACCATCTTCAACCTAGTAAACTTTTCAGATGGTCAGAAAAATCTCACAATCCCAATCGTCGTACAAGGCGAAACCAGATATAATAATAGACGAGGTGTATGAAGATGAGGAGAACAGCATTACTAGCACGACTAGCACTAACAGTGAGAAAGATCCTGGCTGGTGGGTTAAAGTTAAACACACCCGTCACACAACATTTGTTATGTTTTTAATGAAACTACCCTCTCAAGAAAATTTCAGATTTATGACAATGTTTTTATGACGATAAGTAGATAAATAACGATTTATGTTTAATTTGAAATTACAGTTTGATTATTTTACAGGAAGGAAATATTCTACAGCAAAGATTTCTATCTGTTAACTATTGTATACAGTGTGGCAAAGATCTGCAGAACAATTCTCATGACTTATTACAAAGCTTACGGCCTTACAGTTATTCCAAGTTAGTTATAGCTCTGGCCGAGTTCATTGTTAGTGATCCGAGAGCTAGAAAGAATTTTAATGTTTTGATGGATTTATAAATCATGAGTGCAGAATACCATGCTCATAGAAATGCTCCAAAAGTTATTTGGAAAAAAGATAGACTTAGTCACTTAGAGTTAAAGTGTTTGCGACTTAATCAAATTATCTAAGTTTTGATAATTACAAATTAACCACGTCACTCCCTCAACAGGTGACCAGTTCCTAACGATGATAGCAGTTTGCAGTAACTTTATGAACGCCCTTGGTCGTCTCATTTGGGGAGCACTGTCTGACCGGTTAGTAAGCGTTCACAAGGCAGTCACATAATTAGCAGTTACATAATTAGCAGTTACATAATTAGCAGTTACATAATTAGCAGTTACATAATTAGCAGTTACATAATTAGCAGTTACATAATTAGCAGTTACATAATTAAGAGTTGAGACACACGCTAATGCCCCCCCCTCCCCTCCCTCCTCCCCCACCCTGTGAACTAAATAGCTCCTCCATAATTGACGTCATCTTTACTTAAAGTTACTGTCAGTGTCACTGTCATGTCCACCCTAAAACCCGTACTTGCTGCAGATTTTAGAGTTAAATTTAAACTTTAAGTACACGTCACAAGTGTGCGGTATTCTTTTTGGAGCTTTTGACACTTGAAAAAGGTTAAAATTTGTTTCACATTTTAAAACTTTGTTCCATCATAAATGATTTTTATGTGACATTATTTATTTTATCATTTACATAATCCTTAGGTTCCGAAGCAAGTACCTAATAATTGGTGCAGCAATTTGTGGTATCGGAGGTGTTGAGGCTACTTACTGGTGTCTTCACAGGTTTGAAGTTTCAGCGTTTATTATTGAACACCTTGTGTTAATGTTATTAAAGCGAACGCCCCAAAAAATAAATTATGTACATTTGATTTTAATTGTAAATTATGATGATTTAATATCGCATTGAGCTTGAGAAATAGCTTGTTAAATATCATTTAGTGAGCTACTGAGCAGTGAGCCTACCTCTGATCTCATCGACAATCGGCATCGCGTGTATATAACGTTGATATTGTTATTTCCCCAACTTATCTGCCATCCGGGCACTACTACCTTGAAGTTGAAAGGATCAGTGAAATAACTAAAACGTTAAAATTGAAATATATTTCAGTTCACATGCTCCAGATATACTGTACATGATTACGATCTGTCTGGACGGTGTGATATTCGCCTCCCAGATCCTCTTCACAACCTGTCTCTATACTTACTTCGGGAGAAAAGACTTTGGCATTAAGTATGGTCTGGTAAGGGCTGGTCCTGGACTTGCAGTCCTAGGTTTTAGTTTCCTCCTCAAATACGTGGACTTGTTTGACAGTTGGAATGTCATTTATCATTCCATGGCGTGCTTATGCCTGGGTTCCGCCCTCGTGTCCACGCTACTCACCAATCACAGAATCACACCCCTCAAATAGATCACACTCCGAAAATATAATCCTCATTATTACGTTTCACACAACGCTGTCCACGTTTTCATGTTTAAAATAAGCTGTATTCTATCTCGGGGATACGTTATTGCCATGTTCACAATCAACTTCTGGGAAATTCGGAAAAAAATTTTCGCCATTACATTACACAATATCGCCATAAATAAAGAAAATTCGCCAAATTGTCTTTAATTTTTCGTCATGGATATCAAAAATTCGTGGCGAAAACCGGAAATGCTTGAATATATGGAGTGACGTATCCCCCTTCATAATCATTGATGCTTGATAAGATTTTCCATCGATAAAGTGCATCAATCACATACACTTTCCTAATTTAACGCAAATCCTGACCTCATCACCCTTTACCTATTACAGAGTAATTTTAAATTATTTGATATAGATGTATATTTATAAATACATAGGTGTTTATATGATTTATTTTTGATTTTACATTGGCGACCGCCGGGATAAACAGTCAATCGATTCCTGAATGAATATGGGCGGAGACACATTTAAAGTTTTTTCAGAGCTGTTTTAGAAGGATGTTGATGATACCCTTGATAGTGATACATATAATATAAAATGGTGAAAAATATATATGCAATTCAAATTGAGGGGCGTGAATATGAAACTGAAAGATAATGATCTTAACAAAAACAGGGTTTAGAAATTGGTCGAAATACTGACTATTTGGCAGAATGTTAATTGTTTACACGCTGAGCTATCAGTATCATTTTATTATTCGTTATGCTATAAGATTGTTGTTGATAATCATCACCTGAATTCAGATGTCCTTTCATGAATTTTTAAGTTTGTAGCGTTATATTCTTTTAACTGCAGTGCGAGATTGTTTGGAACATATTTCGATTCTGTAAATTATACGTGGTTTTTTATTAAATTGTGGAATATGCAATCCAATATTATAAGAATTTTATTTGTCCAGACAATAAAATTACCTGAATTTTCATGATAACAAATTGCACACGAACTTGCCATCAAACAAGAATTCTATTATAGTTGAATTTAGCTTGCTCAATCTTGCCTACGTATTGCTCACATTATTGCTCACATAATTTGAAACGGAACTGGATGCGGCATTTAAAAGCTCCATTACCGTCGCAGACAGGGAAATAGGGTGCCTTGCTGGAGTTAGACAGTGAAATAATGCCACTTAATTTATATACTTTAAAGACAGTGAAATGGGAGCAGGACTCTAGAGCGGAGGACTCTAGAGGGGGGACTAGGACTGTAGAGCGGACTTGGTCGGAAGTAGGATCCTAGAGGCCGAGCGGAGTCAAATCGCCAGGGTAGGACTCTAGAGCGGAACTCCCTTACCGGACCCATACTCATAGGCCATACTATGACTATGAGGACTCTAGAGCGGTATCCAAATGCAGATTTTAGAGCGGTTATTGACTTGGTCGGATGATTGAAATCAGATTAGATACAACTCGTGATTGATTATTACAGTAGTGACATTAGAATAAGTCATGGAGTTGTTGAAGCAGAAAATTGTCCAAGATCGATTTATTTATATTATACATCATATCATATTGTAATTTTTAGATACGTTAGACAATTTTTCGGTATAAACTTCTTCCATTTGACTGAAATATCCTCATGCTACTCTAGAATGCAAAAAAATTCTTTGATAAAGAGGTATAATTGTGAACTGGTCGTATCGATGTGATTTCGACCGAGTACGTGCACTCAAGCAGATCAATGATCTGAGATCATTTAGGAATGAGGATCTCATCGCGTGACACTTCAGCACCTACTAAGGGTACCACATCTCATGTTCAGTCTGGTGACAGGGTATGATCCAGACCAGATCCATCGCATAGCGTTTCTTGTTAGTGATTTCTATAGTGCAGTATAAATGTCACGGATAATTTAGTGTTAGTATATCACAAGAGTATTATACCCAACATTGACCGGCGAACTGATAGCTACTTCAGAAGCAATGAAACTACAATCTTCTAGATAAAATGAGTCATAGTACTTTCAGCCGGAGCCATCATAAGTGACATAAATCTAAAAGATAGTATGGTTAGTTTCTAAATATAAACTCAAACTCTGAAAAGGAAACTGCCGTGAAATATGAAACATCAATAAAAGGACCAATTATTTAAAAAAAATAATTTATGGAAAGCCCCTCAGACAAAATAAAAATCAATTATGCAATAAAGGAATCTTAAAAGGGTTTGTACTATTCATTCCTGAGGGGCGGAGGGAATTTAAGGCTTGTATATATCGGTGCTCCTTAACATCTAAACTACTAGGACTTGAATTTTCTAGGATACACACTGAAACACTATTGTTAAAATTTTCCTTCTGAGTCAGTCCATGCTCTATATGGAGGTGGAGTCCTACGCAGTTTGAGTCATCATCCGTGTCAACCTTTTGCCCACTGATGATCTTGTAGAATGCTCTTCTGTGTTCGCCAAACCTTACCCGTAGCATTCTGGTGGATTTGCCTACGTATGGTTTCTCACACAGTTTACATCTGATCAAATATATGATGTTGTAAGTGATGCATGTACCTGGTGCTGGTTTTACCCGTTTCCCATTGATGCTGATTTGTGTAGCACTATCAATAGACTCACACGTTGCACAGTTCTTCTTTCTACACGGCCTTGTTTGACCATGCTTATTCCCCAGAGCTATTTCTTTCACCTTAACCAACCGGCTTTTGAGGTTGCTTCCTGTTTTCTTGACAAATTGGAAGAACTTTTTGCCATTCTTCTTTTCTTCAAGGGTGTTACTCTGTTGTTTTGAGTCACTCAGGTTACAAAAACTTCTGGTCTTCTTTAAGTTCTCCTCATACTTTTTCACTGTGGTGACAATGTCAGAGTCACTTCCGTAGGTTGAGACAACCCTTATTGGTAGGATCTCTGGCTTCAGTGTGTTGTCCTTGGGAGGTCTTCGTTCAAGGTTTCTTTCGGAGTTGAGAACTTTTTTGCTAATGTTGTTCACCATTTTTGAGGGATAAGCAGCTGCCTTGAATGCTTGGCTTAATTCACTCAATCTGGTTTCCAGTCGTTCTTGTGAGTTGATTATTCTCCTGAGTCTGATACACTGGCTGTAAACTATTCCACTATAAATGTGGTTTGGATGTGCACTGCTAAAATGTAGATAGCTCCTTGAATCTGTTTCCTTGATATGGAGGTCAGTTTGTAAGTTTCCCTCAGGGTCGAAACAAAACTCGATATCTAGAAAAGCCACAGGCGTGCCAACTTCCTTCCATTGGGATTCGTCAATGAGTAGCCCATATTCTTTCAAGGATTTGTTTACATCGGAAATCCACTGGTCAAATTTCCTTTCAGTGCTGTAGAAGAAACCTGCACCATCGTCAATGTACCGTCTTACAGTCCTGACTCTCTTCATCATGTCAGTGTTACTGTAAACGGATTTGTTCATTACATAAAATACAGTTATGTTGGCCAACTGCACACACAGACTTCCACCTGTAGGCACTCCGTTCTTTTGGACGTACCACTTGTCTTCGAAGCATCCAATAGAGGATCTTAGACTGATATCAACGAGGTCGACCAGCCAATCACAGAGTGCTGGTGTCCAGTCTGGTCTGGTGGTATTCATTGCATGATGAACGGCTTCCTTGACAAGTTCAGGGTTTAATGAGTCGTAGAGAGCTTTGAAGTCGAAAGTGAAAGCTCGGAGGGCTCGTTTGTCTGTTTCAACTTCATTGCATACTTCAAGCCATCTCAGTGCGTCCGTTGAGTCAGTCAGTAAGTCTTCGCAATAGTCCTTTTCAAGATTTTTGAAGTACTCACTGGCCAAGAAGACATCACTCCTTTTTGCTATTCCTTCCTGTAGTGCAGTGACTAGTCTCACAGGGGGCTCTATGCCTGGCACAAGGTCTTTTCTCTTCAATTTGTGGATCTTCAAACTCGGGTAAAAGTAGGCTTTTCCTGGCTTGAAATGTGAAGAAGTGCTCTTTGCATTGGTCTTATCTTTCCCCTCTTTTGTGCTATCATTATCAGAAACACCCATGACACTTTTTGCAGTCATCGGATGGATAAAACCTTTCTCTTTACCTTCAACCCATTTGAGGAATAACTCATGGTGTAATGTTTGGGTGAGATCTTCCTTCAGTTCAGTATAGATATTCGGGTTTTGGAGCTTCTCAAGTGTCTTCTTCCTTAGTGTCTCTGGGTTGATAATGATCACTGCACCTCCTTTATCAGCTTGAACAACGGATAGTTTTCCCTCATTGTTCATGCACTCAAGCCATTTTAGGCCCTCAGTCTCTTCCTTTGACAAGTTCTTCTTTGTGTCGCCTCTTGTAGTTTTCTGAATGGTCAATCTCTGGTCAAGGTCCGCCTCCATACTCTTCACAATATCATTAACACTACTGTCATCTGATGACTGTGATGAATAGTATGATTTTTGGTAGAGTTTTGGTGGTATTTGGGGCAGATTCGGGGTTTCAAACTGGTCATTGCTGTTAAGTGACTGATTTGAAGACTGAAGGATCCTGTTCGTTGTTAAACGCATGTCCAATCTTGTTCCTTCAACATCAAGAGAAGGTGTAGGTACAAAGCCCAACCCTTTTCCAAGTACACACACAGCCCCGGGTGGGACAGGTTCATTCACAAGGATGACAACACTTCCGTCCTTTATGAGTCTTTTGGCTTCTTTCTCAGTTCGTCTTCTGTTTTTCTGCTGTCGGTTCTTAAAATTCACACGCTAGTGTATATATCACATTCGATTCCTACTTCTCTTTACAACTATCTACAATTAAATATGCAGAGTATCAGTAACAGTCATTCCTAAACTCCTCCTGTATAATAAGTTTTATCGATTTTATCATCATTATGTGACGACTATTATTAATCATTGATTAAAAAACATAACTCAATCTTCAAAATTAACTTTACTCTCAAATTTTTAACCGCTCTAAAATCTGCATTTGGATACCGCTCGATATAGAGTCCTCATAGTATGGGTCCGGTAAGGGAGTTCCGCTCTAGAGTCCTACCCTGGCGATTTGACTCCGCTCTAGGGTCCTACTTCCGACCAAGTCCGCTCTACAGTCCCCCGCTCTACAGTCCCCCGCTCTAGAGTCCTACAGCCCAGTGAAATATGTGATAACTTTGAAAAAAGGAATTTAAGTTGATATTAGATTATCAATATCACTTAATTCGCTATAATTTACCTCCAACAATCTGCTATCGATCCCATCTGACACAACCACGTATGTACTAAATAAAATGTAGCATTTGTGTAAGTTAAAATAAAACTGAATTATCTGTTATAAACATGTTCAGTCATGAAAATTTCTAATAAATCGATCGCATTTTACTCTTTCATTTCCGAAACGTTCAATGAAAATGACTAATTCCAAGGGACTTAATCACTTTTCAAAAAGGAGCCATCAAAAGCATCAGCAATACCACAATTATCAGCCTTAGTCATTAATTTCGATGCATTAAATAAGAATTAAAAGGGACGTTTAAAGATTTAATTGTTCAATTCTAATTTTACTCAGCTTTCAGCCTAACATGCCGACACTTAACTAACAGTCTGTTGGGCTATAAAGTTTTAAAAATACAATAACAATTCCTTACGGGGGTGTTCTATGAGTCAGTGACCCCAATCTCAACAGGGCTTGATAAGCTTAATTAACAAAATATTTAAGTGGACAGGATTCTCAGCTATTTCTGGCCATCAACTGTTTGTTTAATTTGTCCTGTATCAACTGAGCTTTGAGTTGTTTGTCCTTTGCAGAACCACTCATTGATTTCTCGTCCCACTTGGTTTCTTTCTTTTTCTCCGCAATTATAGTTTGCTTTATCTTTGAATTAGGGTCGTTAGCAGCTTCCTTCTTCCGCTCTGACTCCCTCCTGTCATAGTCTTTCTGTTGTTTTTCTGCTAATTGTTTGTAGAAGGATTCAGTGCGCCACGAGAGTTTGGTCAAAGTTGGATCAGTAAAATTGGTCCCAGTTTCACAGATTCCCGTCATATCGATTAACTTATCGTAAATACTAGGATTCCTGAATTCCTTGTTATCTCTCATCCTACTGCAGAAATCGTATCCAAACTTCCGACGTTTTAGTAGTTCCGAAGCGATTTTTTCTTGAAGTTTTGATGAACATTTTCCTTTTGCTTCGGAGGGAATTTTAGGATTTCCTTCGTCATCTGCTTTGCCCATGAAATTTTCAGAATCAGACTCCGAATCAGAGTTTTCAACAGTGACGTCATCTGAAATAGAAGATTTGTTATAATATTGTCACACGGAATCAAGATTCCTTCATAGTGTTGAAATGTAAAGTAGGCCTCTAAGATCACAGGTAATAGGAGATTACATTATCTTCTATATCCTAGTGCGCATTTTGATCGTGGAAGATCTTGGAAACAGCTAAACTCAGAAGCAAAATTTGTATAACAACACTTAACTCTTATCAAAAAGTTTACGCTGCATTATCGCGATAACAGCTTCGATAAGATGATCTTTGTTCGAATCGATCTGCACAGTTCGATAATACGCAATACCTTACAAGACATTTTTGTGGCGGACCAATTTGCGACGACCGAAATTTTGGCGGTCCGAAAATATGGCGAAATTGAACAAAAACCGTCACATTTCGGACGTCACAGAAAATAAGGGTATTTTTCATCATTTTGTTTTCTGACACAAAGCTAAAGGAAATTCAAACTTTTCTAAAAATCGGTAAAATCATGTTGAAACAAAATGAAACTTATAAATCGATTTCTTCATCTTCCTCTAAGGGGTCCGGCTCGACTCTTTCAGTTTCACTTACTGAGTTTGGTATTAAATTGTTTATCTTGACTTAGTCTCTTATAAGACGTTTATGTTAGCACATAAATGTAATTTATTGTAAATTTAAAACGTATTACTTGACATTAAATTCATCATGGAATATTGTGTTTATTTGTCCCACCATCATATCACTAACTTTTCAAGAACAAAATGAATCGATGAAGCCACAATTATTGGAATAAGCTAAAAATAATGCGACGGATTCTATTACGACGACCGAAATTTTGGCGGTCCGAAAATATGGCGAAATTTCGGGAAAACCGTCGCATTTCGTACGTTATAAAAATGTCTTGTAAGGTACATTAATCACTGTTAATTCTATGTCGAAAGTCGATCAATAAATATATCGATATATATTATATATTATATGCACGCGCGCAGGTTGACAATGTTGTCTTGCATTCTTTCAACATAATTCGGCAACCGCGCGTTACGTAGACATAACAGTTTTTGCTTTTGGGAGGAAACTCTTGATATCTTTTTAATGATAACTGATAAGATTATGTACTACTAAAATGGTCCTATTGCTGAGCGGTAAATAAACTCACATTGCTTCTCAATCTCTTCTTCGTTTCGGTCCTCATTTGTTGTTTTGTCTAAGTCTTCATATGTGCTGAGTAACGAAGTGAGTGCCGTCTTACTTTCAGATGATCGGGTCTGAAAAGTTCTTCAAGTTAATAATTAGTAATTTATTGTGATGAGCCCTAGTTTTAGAGTTTTAGGAATACTCGCGATAATTCGTGAAACCACGGCACTCACAGAATATTAGACATTTGGGCATTTGGCAGGCAAATATATTTCCAGAACAAGCCTCAACAACAATGAACAACAACAACAAATGATGATTGGGTAATAAATTATATATCAATCAATTATAGTTTAATCAATAGTAACTGACTGGGCTATGAGAGTTGTAAGACACCAGACCGAGTGCATTGTTGGAATTCCCGGAAGTATTTATTGAAGTGTCGGACTGTGGTGTTGTTCCCTCTCCTGATAACTTCTCTTCTTCTGAAAAAAATGGTTTTTTAAGTTGAACTAAGTTTGTAAAAATTATCAGCAAAAGGATTACTTTCCATTTTATGTGAAATGATAAATTAACAGAGTTGAAATGTAAGATGAACTTACTTACCGATTTCAATATTTTCAATATTTTCAATATTTTCGTTATTTTCAGGTTCCTCCTGCTCCTCTACTTTGGGAGCATCTTCGAACTCCATTTCTTCCTCATCACTAACACCACCATAACTTCCTATCAAACCGTCCATTCTAAGATGTAATGAATTTTTAACTGTTTTACAAAATATCAAAATATAAGCAACGCAATCTGTTACAGTTTAAACATTTGGTTTAGGTGAATTCTAAATAATCTTACTTTATTATCAGTATTAAATTCAAAGTAGCCAGACGTAGAATTAAGTGACGCTGACATGAGTGATAAAAATGTAAAATAAAATAAATGTAATATGATACATATGTTACAAAATAAATATTATCTGATTAAAAAGATGTAATAACCGGGTAGTAACATGCTATGAAGTATAATAAAAATCTGCTGATAGGAACCTATAAAACTTATGTCCAAAAAATGTCTAGATATTCATGAATATTACAATAATTTAGAAGTGGTTCTGAGCTAAAAAGTTGGGTATCCTAGGTGCAGGTCTGTTGTTCTTTAACGACTTAAAACCTTCATAAAACTTAGGAGTTTCTACAAAACTAGTTTTAACAGACCGAATGTTTGTTATCAGAACATCACGGTAGTTTTCCTTATCATTTCTTATCAGAACACTTGTAGTTGGACGGCGTGCGCGGCTCTTAACAAGGCTGCGCCAGTGTCTCCCCCACTTCAAGGCGAGCTCGTTAGCTCGATAAGTTTGTTGTGTTACAGCTAACAAGGCCACACGTGATCGGCTCTCTTCTGCTAATGTCACACAGTTAATCCACTCTCTCAAACCTGAAGTTGGGGGGTAGTTAGAAAGTTGTAACAAACCAACTCATTAGCTAAAATAGTACGTTTTATTATACCAAAGTCGATAGTTGATACTCGTAACGACGAACGATTACAATTTATTAATCCCTACAATATTGATATTTGTGTCGTAGACACTAATAGCGGTAAGGCTTTTAATGATTCATATCAAGTGAGTTCCTTGTTTAACTTTTAAAGGAGATTTATTCAGAATATAATAACTTCACTGACCGGTGCGTGTAACACTAAAATATACGAGACTGCGCAAAGCGCTACTATCTAAACATGGGTTTTAATTACAATACGTTAGTCTGCACGGAGCCTATAAGTTTAAATTCTTTGTTCAGCTATCTGAGGAAGGATATCTACTGTTAGATAACATTATCTACCTGTCTGGATGAGATACTGTCGTCTGTCTTGGAGAGCAGTTCGGTAAGTCCTCTGTTTCTGCTTTCTATACTGAGAATAACTCAGCCATGCTCGCAATGCCTTGTGCTCTAATGTCACACACCTGCAAGTATAAGAATGAATTAGTTCGACGAAATGTTGGAACATTTCGAAGATAATTATAAACATTCATTAATAAAATTCTAGTGAATAAATTTCTCGCCAGAAATATAATTGATTTATGCAATAGTTAAAGAACTAACCAGAACCACATGGCTCGCTCTGTTTGATTCTTCTCGATCATTCTCTCCCTGTAAGCATCTCTCCACTGAGTGAACATCCTCTTAGTCATGTGATCACGTGAGAAGTTATCATGCTTCCTTCTAAGCAGCATCTTCTTAAACTGTAACTCTTCATTCTGTTTAAACCCTTCAACAACCTTAACCATGAGTGTTCTAACATAATGTAAGTCAGCAGCTTCACACATCTCCCTGTCTCTCCTCTCCGCACCAGTCCTCTCTTTCCACTTAGCAAGTGCTTGTTTCTTCCTCAGCCTCTCTAACATACACTTACCATCTGACAGCAGCTCTTGTTTAGTCACGTGGTCTCTGGCTCTTTGTTCAGTGTGAGATAACCATCCTGATAGCACCCTCCTTGATAGTGTTTCTCTGTGGTGCAACTCAGCTCGCAGGTTCAAATCTGATGCTAGTCTCTGTATCTTGATTTGAGATGACCAACGAGCCAACACTTTTGACAGGAGCTTCTTGTTGTACTGAGATTCGATATCATGGATTGTGTTCTTAGCTTTACACACGATATTGTGGTGGATAATCCAGTGTTTCATATGAGAAGAAGCGAGTATCTTATTGTAATGCTCGTCAGCAATCCTCTTTTTCACTTTCTTGACTTGCTGAAGTCTGCTGTACTCGCTCCACGCCTTGCTGCATCTCTCAAGTTGTCTCCTATTAAAGTGATCCTCAGCTCTCTTTTTAAACACAGCCTTATCTACGACATGGTGTTTATTTCTAACAAAAGCGTTCAGCCCCCTTCTAAGAATTTTGTACTGATAGTGCTGCACAGCAGCTTCATTTCTAGACTTGCTATCAACATGTTCAACACTCCTCTGCTTCCACAAGTTGAAATGTTTAGTTAGCAGTATCTGACTACGGTGTAGGACAGCAATGCGCTCATCCTGTCTCTGGTTCTGAGAGACGTGATACATAGTTAACCACGTGTAGAAGTACTTGTGGTTGAGTAGCTCGCTGTAGTGGATTGCTGCAGTGTCTTTCTTAACTTGGAGGTTTTTACGGTAGCAAATGTGAAGATGCCAGTTAGTGAACAAGTGCTGGGTTACAGTGGAATTGTAGTGTGTGTCCGCGAGGGAGTAACATTCTTTCCTGTCTAATCTGTACTCTTTGTAGCCAGCCCATTGTTGTAGGGCTACGTTTAGGAGTTTTAGTTGGTAATGTTTTCTGGCCATCAGCGTTCTGTACTTCAACTTATCTTCTTCTACTTGATCTTGTTCTGTGACCCACTTCCTAAAACAGGCAGATAAAACGTTTTTTCTTCTCAAAACATCTGCAGTATTCTTGTTAACAAGGGTTTGTTTCTGATGTTCTGTATACAGCCTTATCTTATTCAAGACCCTCTGTAGAAGCTTCTTACGAGCATGTTCCTCTGCTATTTTAATAAGTTCTCTGTTATAATTCTGAACTTCACAGAATTGTTTCCAATGTACTAACGCTCGTCTGCACTTGGCTTTGTACCAAATCATCTGTATCTCCCCCTCAAGTCGTTTAGTTTTAGCTGAAATGGCAGCGTGATCACTCCACTGGTAAAAGAATTTGTGCTGCATTTTCGATTTTAAGAGTTTTTCGGCTTTTCTTTGCTGTATTTCTTTGCACTTTCGATGTTGTCTGTACGCAACCCATGTTCGGAACGATTGTTGTACCAGCTTTCCAGCATAGAAGTTCGAAACGACGATAACCATCTTCTTCTTAAGAATCTGCTCATTTTTAAATATAAACCACTGTTCGAGACATTGTCTCTGTAACGAAAGAGACCAAAAATGAAGTGCTATATTCTCTTGTTCGTGGGCTATATTTCGTTGAGCCATGGCAAAATGCCACTGATTGAGCATTTTTGATGTCAAGTTTCGATGATACATTGACTGAGCAACTACATTATTAGCATTGACCTCCTTTCTAATCTTAACAGCCTTTTTCAGCCTGCTGAAATACCTTCTCTGTAGTATTCTAGAACAAGTTTGATCAGCAAGCTGTCTCTTCTGACACACATTCCTGTTTTCTGTGAGAAAGTTCCTCCAACATTCCCACGACTTCTCCTTCAAGTAGAACCTGTAATGACAGTCTGCCCTAACGATTAGTTTCCATTCTGTTTGTTTTGTGTAAGTTTCACTTCTCCACTCTGAGAGATACCTTTGAAGAAGCTTTGTCCGGTAAAGTAGTGTTGCTTTGGAGAATGCTTGTTGATCCTCACCAAATGTTCGTTTTTTCCATATCTCCGCATATTTTCTTATAGTTCCATATAAATCTGGTTGAATGGGTGATTGAGGAGGAGGATGTTCTATCCGGGGAGTAGGTTGTGGTATGTGAACACGTTTCCTGGCTGCTGTTAAGGAAGAAGATCTCGAAACACGGCTAGCGCTGGCTGCATTCTGTTTACTAGGAATACTTTCAACGTGTTTCTGTGCATCAAAGTTTGACTTAACCCGTTTAGGTTTATGAGCTTTACGGAGGAAGAGCTGGGTAGGAGGAGGTGATCTTGTGTCCGAGGAGGAACATGACGTTTGTGAACTGATCTGGCTGTTGAGAGTGTCTTTGTCTTTTTAGACAACTCTTTATTCAGCTCAGCTAGGATAGCTCGTTTTACTTGGGCTTTCTTATCAGCTGACATGTACAGATAGCTGGAAAATTTGACCTTTTTAAGGAATTTTGTACAGTAAAAATTGCGACTTTTCATGATTACAAACTTTAATAATGGCAAATATTTCAATTAGATAAGATTTCAACAAGTCTCTAAATCATTTTTGGTACTCCATTAAATGATTTGGGGCTTTTCTAGACGTTCTACAATTAAAGTCGATTTGTCAGTTAAACGAAATTCCAAAGGACGAAACAAATTGATACAGTATTTAATAATTTAACTTAATTTACTCGCTCGAAAAAATTATTTAATAGCAAATTTTCTTATCTTAACTTCTGTTTTAAAAATAAACCAGGACACATCCTGCTTGAACCGAGATTGTTCACGGCAACTGGCGATGGATAATTTCCTTGAAAATATAGAAAGGAGCAGTCGGCCCAGAATTAATGTAATGAATACTGTAGACTGTATGCAAACACTTAGTAAGATCCTGATCTCCATCTACTTGAAGATACGGCCTGTACAATGTACATTGTACATTGGAAATTGTAGTTGTACAACCTCAGTTTACACAATACTCATGTGTTATGTATAAATTGCATTAATTCTGAGCCAATATTCACTTCTATAATCCTCATTTAACACCTTAACAAATTCATCGGAATATACAAAAAAATTTCAAATGTTCGAATTTGGAAAAAAATCTCAAAATACGACATAACTGTAGCTACTATAGCCAAAATTTAAAACAACAAAAAATAGTAAAAATGTAATATCGATATCACGATAAGCCAGGGAACTTTATAAACTCTAATTTCTTTTCAATTAAAACCAAAAGTATAAATATTAATTTCTAGGTGTAATAACGTAAGAACATGGATATAACTAATTTATAATTTTAATTTAAGCAACCTGCCTCATTTCGAAGGGCCATAATTTAGTACCGTCTGATAATCAATAAGTGCTAGTCGCTAGATTGAACTGTTCACAATGTCAAAAAAATCTTGATAACTGCATTAAAATATCAGGATCCTAGTCCCTAGAGTCAAGGAACATAATCATAAAATCCTAGATCCAAGGATCATAATCATAAAATTATAAAGCGTTTAACATCCGGTAACATGTGGAAACCACGATAAAGTTGCTTAATCATCGATTTAATAAATACATGCAAAAATGCTCAAATAAATAGCATCATATCATAGAAAAAGCCTAACATAGGAACACCACCGTTCGAAGTCGATCGGTTCAGTATCCTTAAATCAAATTTAGAAAAATAGCTAATAATTTACCCCCATTTTTAAATATTTCAAAACTTAACTACTATACTAATACTATTGTTGTAATTAATAATAATTGCATTGCAACATATCTTGAACCAATGAAGGCGGGAAGCAGTGGTATTATAGCGCCAGATCCCGCCAACCCGGCATCAGGAAGGTTACTGGTTGCAACACGCCTTGTAAGAATACTAGTAACTACTTAAAAAAACTAGCACTGTTTTAACCAAGAAGAAAATACTAAGTAAACTCTCGAGGTTATTGAGTTTTTATGATTTTTTCCGAGTTTTTGCGACGCTCTTGCCTAAGATGCGAAATTACACGATAGCTGCGCATTACGAACTCTATTATAGGAGTCCAGGGCCATTCGTACTCGTTTTGAATTTTACAGTCGACATTCTCTTCAAAATAGGAGTACAGGGGGAACCAACTCCATGTCAACTCCTGCGGAAGTTAATTTTATAATATACTACTCATTAAAAGCATACAACTAAAGACATCATAAATGTAATGTACAAAATTATATTATAATTATATTTATATTTGCCGCTTGAAAGTCGCAATTGTGTTGTACATCTCGACGCCACATCACCTCTTACAGAGTGTACTTTAATCTAAAATCACGACCTGTAATTAAAATTAAAATAGCAAATACCTGTGAATTCCTTTGTTTGTGGGCAAGGGAATTAGCTAGGACATGGTAGTAAGCAAATGTTCTGGAAGTAATGTAGAACGCTACAATAACATCAATAGTGTAGTGCTCGTGGGCAGCTAGGATGAAAAACGCTCCGAAAAAGTTCAGAGACCAGCTTATAGTTTGGATGAACTTCAGTTTCGACGAGGTATCTGAAATGTGGTGAACATGTTGATGGATATTTTACAAAAATCGTATGATAATAATTGAAATTAAAGATTTTCCAGTTTGAGTAGCTATGAGCAACTAGAGTGAAGTTACCAACCAATAGCTTTTAGATGTCTGTTAACTGTGATTGTTAACTGATCTTTCATTTCAAGTTCTAGCGGATGGATTACATGACAACTTGTAGGGTGATATAATCCCATCGACCGTCTACATTGACTACAAGCATAACTTACACTCGCAAACAAATAGATTGAGCACGGTAAGCACGGCTGTGTGTCCACTAAACATGTAGTCACCACAGGTCCTCACCCCTGATATCGACATTCCAGCACCTTGAAATAATTACAGTTACAACTTTGCTCAGCAACCACTTTCTCTGCATGGTTCTGGTAACTAAAGTCAATCACTAGCATGGCAATATAACTTGTGAAATATTACACCAGTTTTTAACACTCTAAAGTACTTTAAATGAGAGATTTAAAATAAAACCTAACATTATTGACCGAGAGTCGACACATGTCTTACCTCTCCAGATATAAATAACATGTTGTAACTTCTCATCCCAGGAGTCACCCACTCTTATCTCACAGTTATTGAGATGTTCTCCTGGTACTGACAATGTAGTGGACATCATGGTTAGGGCTCTGAGCAGGAACACTGTTCCTATGATGGAAAAATACCGTCTGAAAATTACAAACCGGTGCTTGTGCACCAGAATCAGGCAGAAGAAGGAAAAAGTCAGTGAGACAGCACACGCCTCGGCTGCCTCAAATGCGTGTGGTATGGTTGGAATGTTATCAAGGAAAATGTCAGGTAGTGGCGGAATTTTCTTCATATCAGGGACACGATCGTGAGCTACTGTCATAGCAATACTGGTAACTATAAGAGAGGACAACGCGTAGAGAAATGAAACAAAAAACTTCAGTCCCTCATTTTTGGGGATCAAACTAAGACCACTCCTCACATCATTGCTGTAATCATTTGAATCCGTGCGGTACATTCTGCGGTGCCTCCTCACTTCCGCCACGTTGTAAGCCCTCTGGAGCTGCTCCAAGATGGAGGACAGTCGTTTTATTTCTCCCAGTTTTTGTAGGGAGAGAGGTGGCTTCCTGAGGTCCTGTTCTGTCAGCATCATTAGTACTGGCCCTGAATTATATCATTATAATATTTATATAATATTATATAGATATAATATCAGTTCAATATTAAGGGGGCCGGGGGGGTCTTCATCAAAATTCTCTCGAAATTGACTTTATAGTTGTTTCTGGTAGAAGGGAGTGATATCTACCAGCTGCTTTTGATCCCATGGAAAAATATTGTTCCTAGCCGAAATTATTGCCGGTCTAAGGTCAGCGCTTATGTGTATTTGTATTGCGCGAGCGATTTTCAATCGCAAATTCTGAAAATCGAGTCTAGAAATCTATCTTCTCCTACATTTTTTGAGCAATCACCCTGAAACTTCAGGATATGTTCTAGGGACCATTTAGAAGTTTTGATCGAGCCAAAATTTTGAGATAGGCCTTTAAAAATTTTTTATTCAATTTTGAAAATCTTGGACCTGAAAAAATCGTAAAAAAACGAGGTCCAAGATTTTCAAAATAGAATAAAAATTTTTTAAAGGCCTATCTCAAAATTTTGGCTCGACCAAATCTTCTAAATGGTCCCTAGAACATATCCTGAAAGTTTAAAAAAAAAAGCAGCAGCTGGTAGATATTACTCCCCTCTACCAGAAACAACTATAAAGTCAATTTCGAGAGAATTTTGATGAAGACCCCCCCCCCCGGCCCCCTTAAGAATAATACCATTTTTAAGTGCGCAGTAATTATGATTACGAGAGATTCAAGAGAGTGACCGTTTTAGTATTTCGTTGTCAGAAAAAGTCTGGAATATGTACCTAACAATAAAATGTGTGCGCATTTAAATTCATTTGCAGAGACTTGACTTGACGGCAGAACGTTTAAAGGGACGAAGCAGAAAAAACAGCAGTCTAGGCAGAATTAGAATATCCGGAAAAAGGTCGGTGTCGTGCATCGAAACATGTTGGTAGCCTCTAATTTTGATAAGGCTAATGAATATATTCTATAAAATTGAGATGTTGCACAGTGCACTTGCCTGATATGTCATGCTCATCAAACTTAACGGAAAGATGCTCGAAACCATTAACTTCAAGCCACCTTCCAACATCCTCCTTCGTCCAAAAATCCGGCTTCAAGGATTCCAGATTTGTCCCACAGCAAACCATCATGAGAGGTTGTTCAGTTTGTTCATTACTACCGGAAAATTATACATTTTAATAGAACATAATATAATATATAATAGAACAATAAATAAATTCAACAATAGATTTCAAATTAAAACCAATCTAATCTTAAATTCGAAGCACACATCTTTCGAATTAAAATATTATCGACAGTAAAAGAGTTAAGTTATTTTCAAGAATAACTGCGAGCACGAAGAAAATATAGTAAGAGAACAGGATACAAACAAATTGCATGATAATCGTGAATACAAGATGAACACATTAATTCCCACATTCAGAAACTTTTAAATTTCCTCGAAGTTCAATTTTCCCCCTTAACATTTTCTTATTATGCCCTAAAAAAGTCAGGAAATTTCCTCTTTGGCACCAAGTTTCCTCGAAAATTTCCTAGCAGATTATCTGCCACCTTTCTGGATGTGGGCATTAATTGGAAGAATGATAGTGCAAGTGATACTGAAAACTAATTGATGTAGATGGTGGAGCTGCTTCGGAAACAAGAATACCGGACAGCACAACAGGTTCCCAGGGATGGAAAACAACCTTTGCAGCTCGGATCGTGTCTCTCAGACAAAACCGCGTTTTGTTCCCACGCGTCAGAAAAATAATGTCATTTTCAACTTGACAGCGTTCTTCTAGACATTTGCCCATCTTGAAGGGTATTATTTCGTCAAGAGACCACTCGAAATATTCGTTATCAAAGTAAGGTGAAACTAGATAAGATTGACAAGGGAAAGGGAGAAGTCTGCTACAATTCCCTCTACCGGTATTGGTGTTGTGAGAAAGGTGGTGGTTTATAAACATTTCGTAAAGTCTTCTATTTTTCGTGCTAATTTGAGATGCTTGAGTCCGGGTTAAGGTGGGGATGATAAATTCATAAACATTTTCAGTGAGAACTTTTATCAGATCAGGATCATTATCATCGAAAATAGCCTCAATTTCAGAGGATGCCAGATTGTAAACAGCAAATACATAAGTATCTGTTTTAGCAGAATTTTCCTTCACTTCATAGATGATGAGAATAGTTTCACGATCGAGGAATTGGAAAGATGCCATCTTCAGAGATGAGATTATATTGTACTGTCGGAAGTAGTTACGTAGTTTGTCTTCATGAGTCATTCCTGCATTTCGCCACCAAAACACAAGCAATCGATGTGTCAGTGCGGAGAAAGCTTCCTTATTCGGATACATGCTGGCTAACTTCTTATCACTCAGACAGCTGAACTCACCCACGGTATCTACTAAAGACAGCTTGCCACAAGGGCTTAAAGTGAGTATTTGAAACTCTTGCTGCTTGCCAAGAAGGATTGTTAATCGGTCTAGATAAAGATGAATGTTAAAGCAGTCAATATATCCTCCGTGCACAACGTAAGAGTCTGAAACAGCACCAGAATCTAAAGATACAGAATATATTACTTGAATGCCGTCGACTGGTGAGGACAGCAGAATAAGATGATTTCCATCCTCACTCTGTAGCATTACCTCACTCTGTAGTTGCCTCCCTGGTGTCACTTCATACTTCTTTTTAAATACTCTTTGGAATGCTTCCTCGCTCGAAGTGATGCTATAAATGTCGGCTAAGGATTCCACACCCAAATAGGCAAAAGCAACTAAAGATTGAAAATTGTTTGTAAACCCAAGGAGGATTTCTCCAGAATCAGAAAACCGTTCAATAAAAACCTTTTCCTTGATGAAGTTAGTGATGGTAAGTGATGGCGTGAGTGAAGTGAAGACTTTCTGCCTTTTTGTTTGTCTTCCATACAACCTATCGTCGAGAAGGCCGAGTATGGGAGGTGGCATATCTCTGCAAATACTAAGTTACTTACATTATTCAAATACATTTGCAAACATGCAAATCTTAATGCAATTTAAACTTAATGCAAAAACGTGATTTTTAACTGTGACATGCAACATCATAATATGATCATGATATTTTACTCGTAAATAAAACGAAAATTTCAGAAAAGGTTATCGTATGTATCAATCAAGAAACATTTCACATAGTAAAATTAATGTAAGAATTAAAACAAATCTTAAATTGTAGGAGATTTTTGAAACGACATTTTTGCCCAAACAACTAGAAGAACATACAAAGATAAAGAAGCAGAAAAGGCAAACAAATTCATAAATGTTATGAATAAAACTATGCACTTTGATGTGATTATTCCATTTGAAGACATTTCATGACGTTAAATCGTCAGATTTCTTCCAAGGCATTTTGAAATATTTTCTGGGAAGAGGATTGTTGTGCCCACCCTCGCAATCTGTGAGATGTTTACTAAACAAGTAGTAAGCCAATATCAGTTTCTCATCACGAGTTAACCCTGTTCCCAGCTCCATATCTGGGGGCCCGGTAGATTTGCTGAGCTGTTCTTTACAAAATTCCAGGTCGTATCCAGGCACACTGTGTCTTCTAGGTACAGGACTGGTCTGATCCAGCCAATCCATGGCCATGTTTTCAACCTCCTGATCCTTGAAGAGGACGGGGTATCGGGACTGCAACACAGCCATAAGAAGTTGGTTGCCTCTGTTGCCCGAGGCATGTCCGTTTGTGGAGATTATCTCGTCACCGTTCCGTCTGATCAGTCTGATGGGACCCTGGTACTTAGGCAGCAACGCTACGTTATGTAGGTTAAAGTACTTTCTGCAGCAGTTTTTCGTCACCGATCCTAGCCATTCTGGCATGCGAGGAATTGCCAACGGGAGGATATCATCGAAAGAAGCATCTATGATAACATTACCAATATCGGGGTGAGCGTTAGCAAGGTATGATGCTGAGAAGCCACCAATAGACCAACCATAGACCGCAATATCTTTAGGAGCAAATCCTAATTCTTTAGTTGCATACTCATATACAGCTTCTATGGCATTTCCATCAGCGGTTCCATATGGTATACCTGAGAATTTAAGAAATATCCATTATAACATTAACAAAGATCATAGTTTCTATTTAGAACATTTTTGATTTTAATAATTAAAAATTTCTCATTAACAGGATTAATGTCGAAACACACTAACCACAGTTCTAAAATAAAGAATTTAAATTCAAACCTTTACGAAGTTCTTCAATAAAATCCACTAAAGATGTGGCCAATAACACAGCTAATAAGACAAAGCAGTAATTTATCAGAACATACCTGTGCTGTAACTAAATCCTGGATGGTTCCAGCCCAGAGTGGAATAACCCTCTTTCAGTGGATACTCAAATGCACCGACCTCATAGTACGCGGCATTTCCTTCACAAGTGATAACCTGAAAAATATAATACAAATTAGATTGAAAGATTCAGAGACATATTGGCATGAAATGGCCACAACATTTAAAACATAGCCTATAAATTGTGTAATTCTGTTGTAATTTCGATTGCTTTTCTAAGCCGTTTCTAAGCCGTTTCAGAGCATCATACCAAAGTCTGTCCGGGTCCTTCAATAGGTGTGCCATCCTCGTCCTTTGCTCTGTTGTCAACAAATACAGAGTCGATATGATTGTTGTCTACTGTTTCAAGTTTTGCTCGTGTCATGTTTCTCCTCATTAACATGTGACTTGCTCTTCCTGCACTCAAGTGTTTCCTGACAACATTTACAGATTTTTATGAAGAAAACAAAATTTAACAATAAAAAATAATCATATTTTATAATTACTGTTCTGTTTTACAATTTATGTACTGTATTGTAAAATTAAATTTCTCTAATTCATGTGGCTCAACTTGAATTTGTAACAAATTTTACAAATAACAAATACAAAGAATAAATATAAGATATCTAGAAAGTCTCACCTCATGATAGCGTTGATGGGATATGTCGCTCCAGGATAGGCCAGAGGTTTTGCTATCCACGTTGCCATGAAATAATAGAACGGCTTTAATATAAACGGTACATAGTACTCTCCTGAAAGGAAACAATTCTTTAGTCAACCTAAACGGTGAAAATTTGAGTCATAATTATGATTATGTAGTCACGTATCATTTTAACTTACATAATGTATTCTGTATCTTAAAACGGGCGTTTAGGTTTTGAAAATGTGCAGCTTTTTGATTGATGTTCGATCACATGATAACTATTTTACATTTAACATAAAGTTATACAAATACGATAGACTATCATGCCACTTCTCCTGTATTATCTCTATCAATTACTTACCATGAATATCACTGTCGGGTGTTACACCAGCAGTAGCTTTCATGTCCACATTCCATTCACTGAAATCAAAATCGTACTTGTTCAGGAAACTTTGTCTTATAATGTTGGAATTGCTGGAAATTGATTCTGTGTGACTTTCCAAAAATTCTCTGTATGCAGGAGTAATACATCGAGATGATCCTCTCAGTATGAAGGCAACAACTGAAAAGTAGCGAGTTTTTAGTTATTTTAATGTCACAACTACAAAAGAGACCGTTCAAATTTGAAACACAAGGATAAAGCTCTATATTTTACAACATGTATCAAAGAAATGGTAACTCTTCTTTCAAAATCATGGAAGATTTAAAATTCAAGGTCTACACAACTTGAACCAATACCAAACATTTATGTTTAATGGGATAAATTTATTTAATAACTTACCATAAAGTGATATAAGAGGTGTGATAGAGAACTTGCCGATGGCAACAGGACCTTCTAGTCCATGTTTGTAAGCATTGTAAACAATAAAAGGGGAAAGATATGTTACTATAGTGATGAGCCAACTGTATCCATCGAACACCATATTAGTCCATCTGAAAGTAGCAAGATGACTTTTTAGATAAATGCAAATTTGATGTTCTTCCATCGTGTTTTCACTTTAATAGAATTTTAACTGAATCATTTAATGTACATAATATAAAGATCAATTTAAGAACCTTAAAAAATCAATCGAACGGAAACCTTTAGCTTTAGTTTGACACATTTGATTTGAACAGACTTACTTTTCCATAACTGTTTGTTGTGTGGCATAATAATCCACACACAATCCATCTTTGCATATCTGATATAGCCTAGGACTGTTAAAGCACTTGATAAACAGCCCTACTTTGTCCATACCCTGGAATTTGCAATTATTCAGAATATTCATCAACTCTTGATAAATTGGTAATCATTCACTGATGATGTGGGTTGTTTTAACCCTTTAAAACAGATATGAAAAGGGAAAAAGGATTCTATTATTGAATTATATAATGTATATATATACGATTCAATAATAGAATCCTTTTTCTATTATTCATTTAGTCTTGCTAATTCCAAGAGATAAATGAAGCATCGAAGAGATATTTATACTTTAAACTTCCAAATTATAGAGGCAAAACAATAGGTAATTTATTTTAAGATCCCAGATCCCAAGATCATGTCATTCATGTCTAGTAGTTTAGAAAAGATCTTCTCCAAGTTGTGTTATTGGTTAAGTGGATATGGCAAAGGCACACTGTTAGATTGTGCATGCAGTAGTTAAAATAATTATGGATCACTCAAAAAGGATTGGAAGTACTTAAAGTATACATGTACATTTTTATCAATCAACTTTCAAACTGTTACACAAAGTAGTACACAATTTTAATACAATGAAAATTAGCCGAAATACATGTTCATGCTTTGACTAGTGATAACAAAATAAGGAACACCGAATCATGAGATGGACAGTAAACTGATCATAGCAATTACATCATTTAATAAGAAAGTGCACAAAACAGTGGCGTAACGAAGGGCCCTATCGGCCCTGCTGTGCGGGGAGGGGGGCACCATCTTAGGGGGGGCGCCAAATTGTCCTTTGAACGTGGGAAAATAAAACTGTGTGTTTTGCTCTAGAAACACACTTAAATTTAGAGATTTTACCGGCGTATCCTCTAAAATCATCTAATTTGTTCAATTTTATGGAAAGGGCGTCAAAAGGGGATGGGCGTCAAAAGGGCAGGGGGCACCAACATGAACAGGGGGGTGCTTTTTTTGGCGGGGGCGCCAACAGGCAACATTACGCCACTAGCACAAAATATTTATTATTAGCACAAAATAAGAAAATCGGTGCTGTGTCCTCTAAGTCTAATGCATATAATCGCATAAGTAGTTGATATAAATAAAGAAATAAATTCGAATATTTATACCACACGTTAAGAACATACCACAAAAAGACATATTCAAGCAATTCAAGCGATTTAAACGTGACTTTCATTCAAAATTCAAATCAGTAGTGCAGCTTTGCATTGATTATTTGAAAAATAGATACCAAAATGTACGATCACCAATAGCATGATATCGAATGATTTAAGGAAAGAATATTACATTGATGATTGTGGATTTACAGAAAAGAATTTGCAATTTTTATATTTCTATTTGTCTACATCCAGGGAAGTGCAGTGTGAAAAAAGAAATGTTACATAGTTGTAGAGCTAATAGGAACCTTTTACTGGATGTACATGTGGCTGGGCCTGGGTCAACTAATACTGTCAACAATGATGAAAGAAGAAACATGATAATAAGGTTGAGTTAGAATTACAATTACAATCAATATTGGTAGCAGTGGAAAATTTCCCTTACCTGTGTATTGTACTTTGACAATCGCATCACTTGATTTAATTAGAAAATTCAATCAATTATTACGTATATATAAATCAAGCGTTACATTTTAGCCATGCAATATTACAATATTATGAATATTTATGGCGCTCTGCTCATTACCAAACGCACTCTTATTCCTATTACCTATGCATTGTGCTTTTTCCAAGCCTCTTGCAGAGCTTTTTTATGAAAGAAATTAAATTATGAACAATAGATTAGCAAATTAGGATACACGTCAACTACAAATCAATCGGAATGCATTTGGAAGAAAATAACAAACTCGATCCAAATTAAACGCACTATAGCTATAACTGCCTTTTTTATTTTTACGTAGTTTGCTTACTGTCACCAAGATGCAGTTAGGCCTAATATAAAAATAAAACATTTTGGGATAACTTAATAAATCTACAATCTTTTTATTTAAGACAAACATTTTGCAAAAAACCGGATGTATCTACCTCTTTTACTTTCAAAGCTAAGTTAGACCCCAGCCAGTAAGGTTTCCTGGGTCCGTAAAAAGCACAATAATAGCTAAGCTTGTGGGTATAACTGCGTATTAGTTTTTGTCAATATGTTTTATAATACCTCAATACCAAATTATTATAGGGCACAAGAACAAATTTGTTTACAATTATCAAAATTTGTTGAGCCCGGCAGCTTACTTCCTTTCCTCTCTTTCCCCGTCGTCTGGAGTGTGTGATTTTTGTTGATATCCGAGCTCTTATTTTTATCTTTTGGTTAACTTTCTGTGATTGGACTCGGTATTTTCGTCCCGGCCGAGTGGGACGATGCTTGCTCGCCAGTTAAGCTATACTGTAGATAACACTAATTTCTACAAACCACAAAATATTAAATATAAAATGTGTCCAGTATGGCGCAAATGCATAATTTGATAATTTCTCGACGCCGTCGTCGGGGTGAGAGTTATCTGAACCAACTGCATGCCCCTACGATTGCGTCACCACTGGTGAGCAAGCATTTGTTTGTTGTTTAGTTGTGTTGAAAGGGAACATTACTTGATTAATTCATCCATTCGGATTTTAATAACGATGAGCTATGATATACCGTTCATCTTAGATTATTGGATCAATCTTATTATTATTATATTATATGATTAGATTTTATAAACGAACTTGGCACACAAAAGATTATAATGCGGAGGTTGGCTGGCTCTTCTATAATAAATATGACACTTCAATTTACAGAATGCTTGCTAGAGATAAAACAAAATATTATCAGACTATACATTCAGCATGAGTAACTGGTGGATAAGCCTTCGGTAAAAACGGATCCGGAAAAGTCAATGCGGCACTCGGGTCCTTGGTATTGTCGTCGGTATATTGTCCATTATCTACGTTCTGCTTTCGTAGTTTAAACAATAGTGAGTTCTAAATATACAGCTTTAAACCGATTAAGTATGAATGAATGAAATACCTGACAATCCGCACTCTTATAATCATAAAGCATGAGTAACTCGTAGTGATTTATGATTTCTAGAAACTTTAAATTAAATTTGGCGCTCACAGGTCCTCATGAATATGTGATCGCCGCATAAGGTTCTGTTAATGCGCAGGGCACCTTCAAGCTTCAATTATTCACCTTACTGAGGCAGTCAACCAACGCGCGGCTTTAATTTTATGATATGATATGTTTTGATTGTTATTAATAAATACCAAAATTTAAATTTGTTTTCCTAAAAAATACAGTGGTTTTAGTCATTTTTGCTTCCCATCACAGATCTTGACATACGTTGCATGCCACTTTTCGCGCGCGAAGCGCGCGCCGCCGACACAGGGGGAGCTGAAACCAGGTTTTCGATCAAACGCTGCCATTTGTAGTCAAACGTCGCCAACAGTTGCTCTCGTCCAATGAAATCGCTGCATTATGTAAGCCAAGCTTCGCATACGAATATATGTAATTCAATTAAGCATAATGACTTGCAGAATGCAGCGATTTCATTGGACTTACTGGGCCGCGCTCAGCCTGTCATTCCGCCTAATCTCTATTCTGTTGTTTACCAACATTAAAGCCTGGGGTCCTCAGGTAACATTGGACGAGAGCAACTGTTGGCGACGTTTGACTACAAATGGTAGCGTTTGATCGAAAACCTGGTTTCAGGCCCCCCTGTGCCGAAGGCGTTGCTCTATTTTGTAGAGCTGCGCAACGATCTCGATGGGTTGGCATTGACGAATGTTACCCGTAGTGCTAACGGGTGATATAATACTCGTAAAATATTTGTTCCATATATTAGGACCGTCGACGAGTCCAACTCGGCGCGCGTCCTAGTAAGTTGTAAACCTACAAAGCAATTCATGAAATTATTTCATTTGCGCGGTTTAAATTAAATGTGCTTTTATGAAGATATAGTGCGCATTTATAACTTTGTATCATTCATTTAATTATTAATAGGCATATAAATGGTAAATTTATTAAGTTTATTAATTAATGGGACCATATATTAACAAAAAAAGCCGGATTAAGGTAACAAAATTCAAAGCAAAACATGTTTGAAGTTACATTACATGGGGACCCCAGGTTATTATGTTCATAAACATATAGAGATTCGGCGGAATGACTTACTGGGCCGCGCTCAGCCTGTCATTCCGCCGAATTTCTATAATAGCCTGAGGTCCCAAGGTAACGGAATGACAGGCTAAAGAAATATACCTTGCCAGAGGTATATTTAAATGTTAAATTGACCATTATTAATTGGTCTGGCCCGGCGCGCGCTACTTCGTAGCACTTGCCAGCATATTTCGAGAAGAAAGCGGCGCGCGCTACTTCGAAGAAATTTAGACGAGTAACATCCGTCAATATTTGAAGAAATATACCTAATTGCCAGATTCCCAGGAAAAATGACTGGCTGGTGGTGGTATTAGCTAGTTGGTTTGTAGCGCGATGCACTACTTGGTCGCGCGCGCATCAAATAATGCTTCTCGCAACCATTCGGTAGATCGGCGGGATGCACCACTGTGCCTCACCGAGCTGCGAAGGATTGACATCGTGAATCAACTAGTTGGTTTAATTAAAACAGACGGCTCGACCTTGCGCGCGACATCAAGCATGATTTGCACGCGTGGCGCATTCCAATGATCAAGCAGCTACCACGCGTGTGACGTGACACAATTCAGCCAATCAGAGTACAGGAATCCGCAAAGTTAAAGTTGCAAACTTTTGATCGGCCCGAAATGGGACTTCTCTGGAGATTTTGAGATAACTCAACAACTACGTTGTCTTGAATTTTCCTCCTGGAGAGGTAACGTTACTTTTAAAAGAGTGTTACAAAAAACCGGAAGTCTCCAACTGTACTCTTTTACTTTCAAAGTTAAGCCCCATCCAGTAAGGGTTTCTGTGTGCAGCTGACTGACGCCGAGTAGGGTGTTTTGGCCGTTCTAGCTTAAGACTTTTAAGAATTAAAGGAGCCGTATTGATCTTCCAAACCTACAACTTTCAAGGGCTAAAATTAGCTGTATTTTGTCGTTAAAACACAACTTGTA